TCATTAAAACTATCATTTTTGTTGCCCCAAAACCATACAAATATCTTGAGATATAGACTTGGCATCATTAGAAATTCCAAATAATCCACCCCTTGAAAATCCAGCACAGTAAAGCCCATTTTCTCCTTTCCAGTGACTTGGGACTCTATTTTTGGGCATTCCTTCTTCATTAAATAATCCCCCATCTTCCTGTTAATTTGAGAAAATTAAGTTAGTAAATCACCGAAATGTATAAACAACATAAATAAGTAAATAATAATACTATGTCAAGTATGATATTCCACAATTTTAGAAGATGAAGGTTTTGAAGAACTCTCGATAAAAATAAAGAGCACGCTTTTTCAAAAGATTTCTTTTTCGTGACTGAGATTTTTTATCCATTTATTTGAGAGCAAAAAAAGGGGAATATTTGTAAGTAAATAAAATTTGAATTACCTTGAGCCACTTTCTCACTGTGCTTCTGTAGCCAGTAGCAAAAACAATGGCATCAAAGCTTTTTGTTCCACCATTAGCAAATTGTATATAATCTCCATCGATCTTATTGATGGATGGAAAAACCTGAAAAAAACGATGAATCTGGTTAGAAGCCTGCTCGTGTCAAATGTTTACGGTTAAGGTTTGTGAAAAAACGAGGAGTACATACCTTAATTTCTCGTGCCTTGATTTTGCGCACTGTTCCAACATCAATAACAGGAGATCGACCAGTTATCCTTTTGAGATAGAATGGTCCCTTGCTTGGCCTTTGAAGGCCACAATCAGAAAGATTTCCATGTTTTAACTTGCTCAAGGTCAATACGATATTGTCCACCATGTCACAAGGGAGAAATTTCAATAAAACCATCCCTAGTTGCACGATCCTCTTGGTAAGAACATGAACCTAAAAATAAAAATAGAATCATAACGATCACATTCAATTCTTGGAAAAAGTTGTCCTTAAATTTCCATAATTATATTCGTGAATCAACTATAATAGTCCATAATCTAAAAAGGATAATAGTGATTGTGTGTTTTGATTAGCCCTTATTTGGCAATATTAAAATTATAATTTGTTTTTCTCTCTCTTTTTATAAATCGCACATTTTTAAATAAAATAATATTAAACTTAATTCCAAAACTTTTTCTTTTTTTAACCACATTTTTTTTCAAAAAAAAAAACACTACTTCAACCATTAAAATTTCAAATAAGAGGGGCCAAACAAAATCTTATGTTGCATGAACAAAAGTGTATGTATAACTAGTATGAAAATAGCAATTAGGTAATGTTTCCAAACTAAAAAAAAGGTGTTAGCACAAAAGATTAGTGACAAAATCAGCTATATGTTTTTTGAAAAATATAATTTGGCCAAGATTTTACTAAGGAAAAATTCCATTGCTGATAACCTGTTGCAAAATCTAGTGTATGAATAGTAAAATATGAAGGATTTAAATGAGCAAGATTTTTGGTAACGCCGATAAACAAAATCACTTACAGGATTGTGTACGACAATACTTGTTTGAGCTCCCCAGTTCGACAAATCATATGCAATTTCCATACCAGAATTTCCACAACCAACAACCAAGACATTTTTGTCGTCAAATCTCTTGCCATTTTCATAATGGCTAGAATGCATTACCTCCCCATGAAAGCTATCCAACCCCGGGACATTAGGAATATAACCCTCACTATTCTCACCAGTTGCGACGACAATATACTTCCCCTCGTATTTTTCTTCCATGTTAAAAAGTGTATTTCTTACAATGACCAGCCATTTTCCTTCTCTTACATCAAATGCTGCTGACTCAACTGTCCTATGATAAAGTGGATTAACATTAAAATGGGAAACATAGTTGTCCAAGTATTGGATAAAACCAGTTTTGGACACAAATGTGGGTGCATTTTGTGGGAATGGCATGTGAGGAAGTTCACAAAATTGCTTTGCTAAATGAAGCTTTAGCCTATCGTAAGACCTTTTCTTCCAGAGGGAAGCACAGCAATTTTCCTTCTCCAGAACAATGTTGGGTATATTTTGGAGGTTTAGACATGCAGAAGTTGCTAAACCAGCAGGCCCTGCCCCTACAATCAGAACTACTGTTTCTTGCTGCATTTTCTTATTTTCCTCGACTGCGTTAACGTCGTCTGATAGGAGTTACTGTTGGAAAAATCCACATTGATTACACATCGATCACTATATCTCCTTATATAGTAAAAAACAAAAGAAAGGGAAAAAAATTGACTGTCTGATCTCATCATTAATTCTTGCTTCGAAATAATAGTATTTCTTAATGAGCGGGATTATAGGCGTAAATCTTTTTCTTATATTTATTTCTAAATTGATTTCAAATAAATTACCACAGTATTGTGCAATTTATAATTCTTCTTGTTTTTTGTTTTGAAAATTTTCAAATAAATGGTAAGTTTCCATTTGAAAGTTGGTGGGCTGCTATATATTTTAGCATAAATGAAGATATGAATTAATAAATATTGAATCATTGATACTGATTTTATCATGGGATTGTCAAATTCGAAAAAAAAAAAAAAAATTAAGATGTTGGGTTCTCCCAAATTTGACTTGGCCCAATACTTCACCCATTCGTAAAAAACACCTAAAGACGGTAATATTATAAGTGGAACAATATTTTAAAGTTCTTTTCTTTACTTGTATGCCAACAAGTAATCGCTTCTTATATTTTCAGTTAAATTGGCTCAACTTTTTCCTTCAACACTCGAACAAATACAAAAAATTGATATGCATATCCTAACAATTTTCTACGTGGAATTAGAGAATTTTACTTAGGAAAAATTAGAAAAAGAATTTTACTTACTGCACCTAATTCTGATACTTTTCAGAAAGAAACCTAATTTCTAACACCTTGAATTCAGAAGGTCAAAAATCAATTTTGGATCTATCTAATTATTATAAATACTTGACATTAAGTAAAAGTAAATCAGAATTACTGACTCCAGAAATTACACCTACTTTTGGTAATTGAAACTCAATAATCCGTCAACGTTCAATCATTTGAAAACCAATGAAAACTTCAAAGCTTCAACTTAATTTGATAAACCCATGTATATGTATGTACTAGATTTTGAAGAATTATATTGCTTAAACTCAACATAGCAAATCATGAATTCAACAACTCCACATACCATATCCACTTTGTTAAATCATTTGTATTGTGACTTGGTAAATGAAAAACATTAATCCTATACGATTTTCAATATTAAATGAAATTAATATCTTATAATGGTGCTAAATTTAACAAAATATATCATAGTCTCATATATTGTTTGGGTAGATAATATTTCATTCGAAAACCGTAGTGCATTTCACTACATCTTCTATTATGAAAACAAGATTAATTTATCTATCTATCAAATCAAAATATTGGATTCAACAATGTGCAACGTCAACCGTATGTCCGTTGCAAATTACTTAATGGAAATTAGATCGGAAACAGACAATGGAAATTGGGATTCAGTTGAATCCCAATCCCAAAATCCTTATGATAATTTTTTTAATTTTTACAATTTTTTATTCTTAGTCAAGTCATGTCCTCACTCAAACATTCCTAGCTCTGATAATTCATTCTGGCGTGTGAAAGAGAGAGGAAAAACAAATAATATGAAAAAAGAATTGAACATATATACAAAGTTAAGAAAGAAACCACACAATTTATTGTTTAAATTTGTGTATTGCAGTTTAAATTTGGGTTTGAAGTCGAGGTTTTTGCTCTTCACCAAACCTTAATGTTCGTCACGACTAAGAGACTATTAGAATTTGGGTGTGACCCGAATTACTTGTTGAAATAATTAAAGAATTCTAATTGAAATGCACGTCATGAATAATTCAAATTTGAAATATTATTGGAGTCCTATGTTATGTTGAAATTCTATTTTGGAAGCCCTCTGGGAGTTGAAATTTGTTTTGAACTCAATTTTATGATATTCTACTTCATCAACAACTCTACTAGGTGAGTTTGGACATCCCTTACTTATTCCCTATAAATACTAGACTTTTCTATACAATTTTATGATGTGAAAAAATACATTACTAGAATTATAGGATTTATTGTAATTTTCTCACTTTTCCATTATTTTTGAGTCAATAAAATCTTTTAATTTATGTATTATATTCTTGTATTTATTATTATTTTATTTGATCATATATTTCATTATTATTTGTCATATAACTTCAATATCTTAATCTAGTGGTTTGTTTCACAACAATTGGTATCAAGGCCTTAGGTTCAGCAGTTCCGCGAGAGCGCAATGTTTGATTTGTTTGAGGTTTTTTATTCGTGATGGTTTTCATGAAGTATGACATTCCCTTTTTGGATTGGAGCACTAGATTTTCGCTATGGCTAGTTAAGATATGTGCAATACTCGCACAACTAGATTTGGAATATGCGTTGCTGAGAATTGACAAGATGTTCGCAACATTGACCGCGGAGGAGAAATTACGGAAGGATAAGAATGCAGTTTCTCACATTCATCTTCATCTATTAAATACTATTTTTCAGGATATTTTGAAGGAGATTTCAGCAGCTGCTTTATGGTCAAGGTTGGAACAATTGTGCATGACTAAAAGTCTGACAAGCAAGTTGAACCTCAAGCAACATTTTTATACTCTCATCGAATGACAAAAGGAGAATCATTGGAAGATCACCTAGCTATATTTAAGGAGATCGTCGCTGGTTTGGAAACTTTGAAAGTAGAGTATGATGAAAAAGATTTGACATTGATCATATTGTATTTGTTGCCCGCTTCTTTTTTTCTTTTAGAGATACGATTTTGTATAGTCGTGATACTCTCACCATAGAGAAAGTGTATGATGCTTTGTATTCAAAAGAGGAGATGAAGCATCTGATTTCTGATGTCAGTGATGGAGAAGGTTTGGTTGCTCATGGTAGTTTTGGAAGTGATAGATCGAAATCTAAGTTCAGTTTTCAAATTTGTAACTACTGGAAGAAGAAGGGGGTACTTAAAGAAGGGTTGCTAAAAATTGTAGAATAAAGAAAGAATGGCTACCAGTAGATATTCTGATACTTCAGGCAAAGCAAATCTCGTGGAAAACGTTGTAAATGATTGGGAACTCTTAGATATTTCTAACATTGAGTCTAAATCGGAAAATGATTGAATTCTTGATTCATCATGTGTGTTTCATATGTGTCCTAATAAGGACTTATTTGCTACATATGAAACTATTTCCAAATATATTGTGATTATGGAAAACAACGCATCTTGTCGGGTTGTTGGAATGGCACAGTCAGATTTAAGCTCTTGGATGGGACAATTAGATCATTTGGCCAGGTTCAACATATTCCAGATTTGAAAAAAAAATTTATCTCGTTGTCTATCCTTGAGTCAAAAGGTCATGAGTTCTTTGGTAGAAGTGGAGTTTTGAAGATTTGTAAGAGTGCCCAAGTTGTATTGGAGGGATAGAAAAGGTCTCGGTTATACATGTTGTATGGTCGTGCAGAATTTAGAAAAGCCAATCGACACAAGTTCAGGACCGTGGTGGACATTCAGTTTGGTATAATACATTTAGGAGTTCATAAAGTATCGAATTTCAATAATACAGTTCAGTGGAGTTCGGGAGATATGAATAATACCACTTTGCAATCATCACCTACGGTGCCATTGTATTCAATTGTTAAGGACGAACTCAATGGAAAATGGTATATGGATGCTGATTTTGTTGAGTATGCTTTAAGTAGAATGTGTACAATCTAGCAAGGAGCCTTATGTAAAAGCATTTAGCATTGATTCTGATTTAGGGTGTGTTACAATCCATTTTGGTAAATTATAAAATCATTATGATTTTTTGGAATATGAGGTAATTCTGTAGAGTATAGCTTGGATTCATTGGAAGAGGTGGAGTATTTTGTGTTTGGTTGGAGAAATTAATTATTTTTTGTTATTGTTGTAGAAGTCAGTTCATTATTTGGTGGAATTCGTGTCAAGGTGGAAATTGTTAGAATTTGAGTGTGACCTAAATTCCTTATTGAAGTGCACTTTATGAAGAATTCAAATTTGGAATATTATTAGAGTCCTATGTCATGTTGAAATTCTA